ATAAAAGTTAAACTAATGTAATGTTATGAGTTACCAGTATATAAATTTTATACAATTTGACCAAAATTACTGAAAAGAGATGTGAGTGTGGACGAAAGTTCGCCCATGCATGTAGCTCTAAAGGCTTGTTTTTCTCCAAGTAGATCATCCTTTTCTTAAAATATGTCAAGTATATCAGGAAAACTGAAATCCTTTTTCACAGCTAACCAGCCTTGTGCATTAAAATACAAACATCTTTTCTAAGACTGATAATGTTTGTTTCTAATGTGCTGGAAGAGTTTGCAAATTACCTTAATAAAAAGCCTGATGATTCACTTGAGGAAACTTTTATATTTGGGAAAGAAATCTTCATTAAAATAAGTTATGTGACCTTTCCCTCACTCCATATGAATAAAAAAACATGTTTGCACTGTTGCAGCTTATCTTTCTCTGGCTATTTGTAGTTGAATTGTTTATTATACACATAGCATGTCAAGAAGTGTAATCACCTTTGCCAGTTACTCATTAATTATTCGCTTAATTCCCTACAATGCATCTCTTCAGTGGCAATAATAAGATGCACCTGATATTCGGCTCTGCTCCCCCTGCAACCTTTTCCCTGCTGTTCTGCAATAAAGACCCTCATTAGAAGCATTTTATTTATTCCTCTAAGAAACATTATGAGGAGTATGGAGAGAGGGCTTTTCCTGCTCCCAGCAAAGGATACCCTTATATACGAAGAAAAGATTGAACACAAACTGGGGCATTGTACCTGTCCCATGAGAGGGACTGACCTCTCACTTTCATCACAACTTGTTCTCTAAGAGGAATTAGTGCACTGATGCACTGGGCAGCAGTCATGACATGTAGGTCCTGCATGGGATGTTGGACAATGTTACATGGTGTGAAATTACTGTTTCCATTAAGAATTCTAGCCTACACCAAACACTTTCTGGTTTAGTGAGCCTGTGGATCCATCTCCGCACATGTTGATCAAAGTGAAACCTTTTGTAACTGCTTATTGTATCCTAATGCAATACCAAGACTCTGCGGAATTGTTTTTTCATGTATGCATAATTACTATACTTTTAAATTGTGTGTCTGGCTGGATACTGGGCAGCCTGTTTTTACTGTACTATTTTCTTCCTGTATTGTATTAAACTGTGAAAACTGTGAAAACTCTTACTAAATAAAGATTGTCAAAAAAAGAATGTTTGCCTAAACCTTTCCCATACAGAATGTGCACAAAGTAGGCAATTTCAAACTTGGAAATGCTTAATATATTGTGTCATTCTCATGAGTATCATTATGCACTAAAATGATGAGTCTGAACAGTATGAGTCATCCGTGAGTATATTTAGCCCTTATTCTAAAGTACCTTTGTCCATTGAAAGTCCTTAAAGGACAACTGTCACTTCAAAACTATTTTAATAAAATAATTATTTCAGCAAGTTTTGGAAGGAAATAGATTTTTTTTTAAAATGAGGTATATGGGAAGAAAATTAAAGTGAGTCATCCGTACCTTTAGTATATGGCAGGATCCTTAAGCCATATACATTCACCTTGGGCTAGACAGTGTTTAAAAACTGACAGTATCTATAGTCTTTGTCCTCCTTTGTCAAATGCCACAGCTGAAAAAAACGCTTGCTCTGTGCTCCTGCACAGCAACAGCATTTTAGCCAATCAGGTAATCAGGAGAGCCGTGCTGAGCACAGAAATTCTTCTTACCTCAGATCTTCCACAGACTTAGTGGATGTATAGAAAAAGAGCTTTATTGAAAGCATCTGGCAGGGCAGTGCTAATTATTGGCCAATTCTTTAATTACATTAAAGGCCATTATAAGGCAAGGAGCTCAAAAAGTATTTTCCTGGCTACATGAAGCCCTTTCGGACAGAGGGTCACCCCATCGGGCTGCAGGAGCATCCTGAGAAGCATCTTACCAGGCCCAGTACTGCCAATACAGTGGAAAATACAAGCTCCCAGGCGGTGGCAGAGGAGCTCAATCCAGAGGTGGTTCAGCTTCCAAGAGTAAACCCATGCATTCAAGTAAGTGTGCCTCCTCACATGTCACTAAATTGGAAGGATATTTCTTCAGACAAATGGGTTGTAAAGATTTTTCACAGGGGTTTACAATTCCCCATTTTAAGGTTCCCAGTTCAGAGGTTTGCACCAGGCAGAGAGATGAACCCGTACTAGATGCCTCCCTTTCTCTAGCTTTAAATCAAGGGAACATAGAGTTGGCAGGCATGTCTATTACAGTATGGGTCAGTCCGTTGTTCCCAATACCAAAATCAGATGGTTCCTGGAGACTAGTTGTAAATGTGAGGTCTCTGAATGCTTTCATTAATAGAAAAAGGTCCAGGATGGAGAGTTTATAAGATCTCCCAGGCTTAGTACAGAAAACATTTTTCTGCATGAAGTTAGACCTAAAAGATGCCTTCCATTCAGTCCCTATAGTCAAGAACCACAGGCATTTTCTCAGGTTTCAGTGGAAAGGAAAGATGTGGAAGTGGACTGTTATGGTCTGTGGCCTATCCAATGCACCATGCACATTCTCCAGTAGAAGTCAGCTGTTTTTAGGGAATCAATAAACACAGGGTGACCATTGGGAATCAAAATTCTTTTTCCCCAAGAAGGTCAGAGAAGAGTTGAAGTCTATTCTGGGGTTAGAAATCCTTCTTACTCGTCCCCTGTTAGAGCAGCTGTTTGCAGTTACTCTGACTTCAGATGCCTCAAATCACGGTTGGGGTGCATTTACAGCCCAAAACGCGATAAGAGGAATTTGCTCAGACCAAGAGAGACTCCTTCATATAAACATCTTTGAGTTAAGAGCAATAAAATTAGCTTTCCAGGGCCTAGTTCCTCTAAACCAGTTATCAACGTCGGTAAAAGTCCAATCGGACAACAGGACAGCAGTGGCTTATAAAAACCACAGAGGGGGCACTAGATCAAAGGGTTTTTGTTTGGAGGCTCTAGCTCTTTGGTCTTGGGCTTTACAAACATCTGCACAAACTCCCAGGTTTGTCTCCAGGACTTGGACAAAGGGAGCTTGGAAAATGGATGCACTGTCTTTCCAATGGACAGATGCCCCAGCCCCTTATGCCTTTCCCCCTCCATCTTTACTGATGAAAGGGCTGGAGAAGATCCGCAGGGACAGGGTACAGTGTTTAGTTCTCTTTAACCCAGTATGGACCTCCAGACCCTGGTACTTCTTGATCCATCAGTTATTCAAGGGAACCAAGCTTTTTTGCTCAAGCTTCCACAGCTGATGTGCATCGCAACCCTGGTAGGCTGTTAACGCATCCCCTTTTATCGGATCAGGTCCTGGACATCATTAATTCATCTTTAAGATGCAGAACTAGGGTTAGATATAGAAAGATCATTGAGTAATTCAAAGAATGGGAGGTTTATTTTCTATCTACTTCTCAGGGATCTGATACCATTACATTGGCTTTAGAATTTCTTACCCTTGAGATCCATTCTGATTTAGCAGTCATTACCATCAAGACCTATGGATCTGCTTTAAATTTCCTTATGCCTAACCTTACTCAGGATGTCCTGTATTTGAGATTACTAAAAGGATTATCAGTCTGCCACCCTTATACTCCATGTTACACATCTACTTGGGATGTAGACCTCCTATTAAATTCCCATAATTCTTTGGATAATGCTAAAATTGATTTAAGATGGACTGCTATTAAGTTGGCTTCTCTGCCTTCTTTGGCCTTGACAGCTAGAGGAGCTGAGTTAACTCAAATCCATATTTCAGAACCACGGTTGTCCCAGGCCCCAGGAGGGTTTCATTTATACTAAAAAGGAGACAAAGAACATCCCATATTTCCCCAGGTCCGGTGGAATTGGATTTGGTTCAAGATTCTTCTGAACCAGGCTTATGTTTAATCAGTTTTTTACAATCGTACCTTGACCTTTCTGCTGCATTTAGAAAAGAGATCAGTCAATTATTTATTACAGCAAGGAATCCCTTTCATCCAGCCAAGGTTAATACTATTAGAGGTTAGATACTTTCTGCCATGTCTTCGGCTGGTATTCATGTTACTGTGTTCAAAGGCCACTCAATTAGGGGCGCCTCAGCTACTAAAGCATCAGCAAACAGTCTTCCCCTCCTGTCATGGAGTAACACTTCCGGGTTCGGCACTCAGCTGTGAGGAGCCGGACCCCGCCCCCCTCTGAGACAGCTCTGACGAGTTTCGCATCCAGCGTCGCAGATGCGCCTCTAGCGGCTGTCAGGAAGACAGCCACTAGAGGTTGGATTAACCCTGCTATGTAAACATAGCAGTTTCTCTGAAACTGCTATGTTTACATGTGAAGAGTTAAAACCTGAGGGGCCTGGCACCCAGACCACTTCATTGAGCTGAAGTGGTCTGGGTGACTATAGTGTCCTTTTAAATATTTCCTTGTTCCCCTTTACTATTGGGTCCTTGAATTCTTTTTTTTGTTTGTTTGTTTAGATGTTTAATTAAGTTTCTCTACCATTTGGGTAATATATATTCTCAGTGCTTTGTGGGATAAGCTAACCATTCACAGTTTCCCAATTTAAAAAATCGGAGGTAATCAGAATTCCTATGCTCAGTGCAGTTCTCCTGATTACCTGATTGGCTGAAACTCTGTTGCTGTGCAGGAACACAGCGCAAGCGTTTTTTCAGCTCTGGCGTTTGACTCCGGGGACTAGCTCTGCTTGGTGGTTATGCTCATCCCTAAGACCAAGGAATTTTGCAGATCATGATTTTCTGCATCTGTGCATGGAGTGAGGACAGGAAGTCCTCAGAGGCTTCCTGTCAGCTTTCAAACACTGTCTGACCCAAGATGCATGTATATCGCTGAAGGATCCAGTCATATGACAAAAGTAAGGATGTTTTCCTCATTTTTATTTTCTTTTTATAAATTCTTCTTTAAAAAAATATTTATTTTTTTCAAAATTTGATGAAAGGATTATTATTTTTAAAATAATTTTGAGGTGACAGTAGTCATTTAAATAATAAACAAACTAATCACTAAAGAAACCATTATCTAGCAAATGTCTATTCATTAGATGCCCCACTGTCTGCATACAAACTCTTTAAATATTTTCTCTTCACCTTCACTTGAAGTCATTCCTAGATTGGTCCTCTGTTTGCTGAGACAGACCTTGAAATGGGCCCTGCCAGGGTGTTTGTGTGGGGCTCCGAGAGTTCTAATGGAAGTCCTGCTTTTGTCCCCTGAAGCCATTCAACTGAGACCAAGCAAGGAGCAGTAGATGAATTTGGGACTACTCTGTACAAAGTAAGATGTTTGGAAGGTATGTTTTGCAACATACCAAAAACTAGGGATGTGCACGGGCAAAAAATTTGGCTCGGTTTGGCACTTCAGAAATTTGGGGCTTCGGCAATTCGGGACTTTGGCAATTTGGCCCTTTCGGTTCGACACTTCCGAAATTCGGGACTTTGGCAATTCCCCAACCCAAGCCCTAATCCGACCCCTAACCCTACCCCTAAACCTAGCTCTACCCCTAATTTTTGCATTTTTTGCTTTTTGTGTTCAACTGCAATTTGCATCTCTCTCATTTGTTCTACCAACACATATTATACACCATTGTATAGACGTCAAAAAGGACATTCATTTGATGTGACGTATATAAATATAAATTCTCATTTATCACAAGAAAATGAAAAAAATGGGGAAATAAAACAAAAAAACTAATTTTGTTCCAAGTTTTGGCAATCATAACCTGTGCATAATATGTTCACCTTAGGAAAAGTAATTGAAAATCAATTCATTTATGTGTCTTGGTTTACAGAGTACATAATATGTGTAGAATTTCAGTATATTTTGAAAATTACAGGTCACAAACTACAAGGACTAAAATAAAATTTCAATGTGAAACAATTTTAGAAGTTGGTATTGTTGGGGATAAAATCAGCCCGGGCCCTTTGTGGATGATGGATATTTGCCAACTCATTCAGAGCTCTGGAAATTGGAAAATAATAGCAGAGATGTGTTCAATAACCAATTCAGATTGTATTCATTCGTCAGTTATATTAATTTCATAGCAGGATGGGAGGGGGGAAAATGAGCATATGGGCGTGGCAATGACATAGATTGTTTTTCACAAGTTATGAACAGCTGTTTCTTATTATAATTCTACGTTATATAACGCATGTATATTTGATCAAAACAAGATATTTACAAATACCAAAATCTTGGACAATTAACAAGAACATTTCGAAATCAGTATGGTCATTCTCGTAACTGATATTAGATAAATTCTTCAGAGAATCGAAGATACAATTCCAAATGTATTCTTGGTTCACATTAACCCTTATATGAACAGCTAGGATAGATAGCAAAATGGATATTCGTATCTACAGGTATGTGTGACAAAAGTAACCTTGTCACTGGCTTTTGGAAGGGCCTGTTTGCCACCTCCTACCCTGTGATTATGGCCGAGTGACAAACTGAACCTCATCAAGGGTTCTTGGAGGGGCCTAATGGCCAGCCTTATGCATCAGGACTATGGGCCCTGCAATATACATTGCCCAATGCACTTTAAAAGACTCTGTTCATGTGAAGTATGTACTTTTGTACTCCGGACAGAGAGACCGCCCTAATTCTCTGGAACTGTTTTTGGCATGGGACCATGTGCACGGTGGGTCAAAAATAAGACTTCCAGGAAATTCCTGAACCCCTACTCTCATCTGGGTGATTTTTGGAAATGTTGTTCACCCAGATCATGGCTATCAGGGGATGTAAGGTGTTTTGGGGTACTTTTGGGGTTTTGTAAAATATTTGTTTTTTATGCTTGGGGATAATTATGTTAATACATTATCTACTTTAATGGTAACACAGGCAGAGGGGAGGGATTGTGTGCTGTATGTGGGAGTGTCAGGCATTGTTACATTGTTTCTATTGGTCTGTACAATTTGTGTCCTGTGCCCCATCAGGTCCAGTGGGTGTTCCTCCGGCCTGAAAAGTTGTATAAAAATCCAACCTGTACCATTAAACTCTCAGATCATCTTTCACCTTCATGACATTTCGGCTTATGTTTGGGGGATTGGAGAACTACACTCTGGGGATTGCTATAATCACTATACTCCCCTGAGTATAATCACTAAGCTCTTGTAAGCTTAGTGATTATGTAAACTTAGTGATTATATTCAAGATTATAAGCTTGACTCTCTGGAGCAAGAGAGGTTCACCCACTGGAACCTGGAACCTTGCCATAGGTCCAGGGTGGGTAGGAGATGGCGATAACCCAACCAAGCTGTGGTGGTTCGTGGGGTTTGCAGTGGTTATGGTGCTCCAGCGCAGTGCTTATGGTACTCGTCAGTACTAGTAATTGATGGAGGTACCCGGTCGGGTTGCAGTCGGCCCGAAAAAAATGAAATTTGTTTACATCCATGTCGCATTTTTGCTGGGTATTTTGTACATTTGATAAGTGCCACTGTCATAAATTCCCCATAAGTTTGCTCAGTTGCCTCTTCTGAGAAAAACAATATGCCCAAATGCATGACCTAGAAACTATTTTGTGAAGTTACAGTGCTGTAAAAGAGACCTGTCAATTTCAGATTTTTAAGTGTGAATTTTAATAGATGGTTTTGATGGGTCTGTTTTCTATTTCAAAATATTTTAGCAGGCTGCTTATTCCAACTACCCCAAAATGGCATACTTTTTTCATCCTTAAGGGGAGGACTGCAGTGACAGAAAATTTTCGTCCAGTGTTCTTAAGGGGATAAAGACAGCAATTGCTCAGAATTAGTACTAATTAGACAAAAACTGTGGGCTCCTTTATACATTGTTGCTACTTTTTTACAACTAAATGTTCCATAGGTAAATCCAATTTCTGGGTTGTGTCCCGGCGTCCTGACTGATTCCCACCAAGGAATTGTCCCAAACAAGCATAGTGCATGTGCATCAGTAGATGCACTCATGCTATGTTCAGATTACAAGAAGCCGTGCTCCCTGCAGGCTCATCTTTCAGTGGGCACGGCTTAGAAGATAATCAGTGTAGGGATAATTGTGGGTCAACATATTAAAAATAATATTTTGTGAAAATTATTTTAAAAAATGTGAAATTTTTCATTTTATTAATATTACAAATATGAATAATTATTAATATGAATATTTATATGATGGCATAAATTATTATAGAAACACGCCCACAATTTTAATTTTAAAAAGATACTTACTATTTTATCTCTAATCCTAAATTATAATTCAGTACAATAAAATATATAATAACGGTACAATAAAACATATAATATAAAAATGTAATTTATTGTGACAATGACATTCTATACGATAATAACATAATCGGTGAACATACAACAAAGAAAATTGCTTCAAACATGTAAAAATATAATTTGCATAGTAGACAATTAAAAAGATAATTAACAATGTAGTTACTGGCTTAAAGATTATATCACCAATGAATGCAATAACTCAACATAACATTTGCTTTGACATTTAATATTCTTCACCATAATATGACACAATATCCCATTACAATATCTCCTGTATTAAATAATCTCTGATTATAACCAACTGTTTCCACAAATAGTTGCAAACCAAATTAACTTTCTCCGATCAACTCAACAACTAAACTCTCAGTTTGGAATTTCAAACTGACAATATGCAAACACATTTAAAAAAGATGGTAATAACTATGACTATATTTCGCTATATTGGTATTCAATAATATTACATAAAACAAACCAATAAAAATATCAACAAGTATTCAAAAGAAAATACTTGAACAATTCTAAATAGCTTCTGTATCTGCACTAAGCAATTCTATAGGTATTTACAAGTTAATAGATTTTGATTAATATCTGAATTGAACAAATGAATGTATCAAAAATTACAGGATTAACACACTAAAAATTATTGCATATTTTGAATCTGAGCTGCAGACACAGATTTTAACACACAGAGACTAATTTCCCAAAAGGAATAAATTATTTAAAATGTTGACATTTCACACATTTACAATATGTAAACATATTTTAGATGAGGATTACTACAGAGTTGCTGGTTTTCTTTCCCTTCTCAATGGATAAGGAATTCAGTTTTGCATTGAAAAAATAATTGGAAAATGGCAAGATAACTTGCCATTTTAAGAGAATAAAGTGGATTTTAGAGATAGAGATACTTTAAAAGTGTGTGACCAAGTAATCAATCAAGAGAGTGTAATCGAGTATAGAGTGATGAATCAAAGCGCTACGGAATCTGTTGGCGCTATATAAATGGCAATAATAATAATAATAATAATCAAGATAGTGATCATGTAGAGTGATCTAGGATAATGATTCAATAAAGTGATCCTTTTCTTTATTCTCTATATCATTATATTGGTTGTTTTTTTTTTATTGCATGTAACTCACACCTATGGATTTAACATTTTCCAGCTTTGGTGGGAGTAACATGATAATTAAGAATCTACCATTGCTTAATTAAATGACACCAATTTTACCAAAGTTTCACCACAAGATGTTGCTCTTGTCTTTTGAATGATTTTAATGTATACTTATTTCCTAGAATTGTTAATTTAATTTATGCTGACACGTGTGTACATAGGTATTTATATTAGTCTTGGACATATAGATAAAGTTAATCCCATGAGCCTTATTCCAGACAATATAGCACAATGCTAAATTTAGTTTGTCGGTGCATATAATCCATGATAAATTTGACCATGTCTTAGTTCCAAAGTTTATAACATAAATGACCTAAAAACATCTGACATGTCACTCATTCCAAAGATTTTAACTATATATTCTCAATTAGGTACCAACATATATAAGCATATATGTGTGATGAAAGTGTGTTTTACAAGTACATGCATGGATATTATTTATTAAATAGGAATAAATTGTATATGTTTTGACAGCAGGCATCTGACAGCAATTTGAGTGTCACTTTCTGGGAAGGTGCACCACCTTTGGAGCTGGGCTAGTGATGCAACTGGAACACATCCTCTACACCGTTGTTATTCTTCCCTGGCTGCCAAAGTAGGAGGTAATGTAATTCCTGTATGTATTGGTTCAACTTAGTGTAAATTAAAAGGAATTTGTTTTTGACTAAGTACCCAAAAGGGATTTCTGCACGTCTAGTAAATATCAATTTTGTAAAACCACATTTAAACCCTATGCTGCTTAGTGAATCTAGGGTCAGTTGGAAATTAGCCCTCTCTTTTTAATTTATAGTAATTCAGTGATATATTTGTAAACAAGTTATACATT